GGTACCAGGGGCATCTCATGGGGCCCCCTACTGACTCCGGGCCCTCGGGCAGTGCCTGAGTTTCCAAATGGTCAGTCCGCCCCTGCTTGAATAGAAATCTTTAGATAGATTTTTATTCCAAAAGAATTTTATTAAAATAAATTTGATAAAAATCAAAATAATCCGATTTAAAAAAAAAAAAAAAAAAATATTTATTTTTAAATCATCGGTTTTTATCCACCCTGTTTTTGTCTATAGCAGCCTGTATAGCATTGGATCGGGGATCAGTAGATTGCTGATGCCATGCAGGTCTCCTGCAGACCTGTCAGAATATCTGCTTTCCGTATGGGATGTACGAGCAAATAGATATTCTGATAGGAATCTTCAGTGAACTACCACTTACCCGGGTAGAAGCTGCTTCCCAGAGGTTAGCTGTGCTGGTGGGCTCTTCTGTACTGCTCTCCTAAATGCTTTGCAAACCACTGCTCTGTAACATCTTAGATTGTAAGCTCCCAGGATCAGGGCCCTCCTATCCCTCTTGTATTGAACTGTATTGTTGCTGTATTATCTCCCGTTATACTGTAAAGCGCTGAGCAAACTATTGGCGTTATAGAAATCCTGTATAATAATAGTAATAATAAAGTGAACAGTCTAGTTCAGGGGTAGACAACCCTATCACTCCAGCTGTGCTGAAACTACAAATCCCATCATGCCTCTGCCTCTGGGAATCATGCGTGTTGCTATCAGAGTCTTGCATTGCCTCATGGGATTTGTAGTTCCACAACAGCTGTAGTTCTGAGGTTCCTACCCCTGAACGACCAGAATGAATACACAAAGAATCAGCACAAATCCTCTGTGAGCTTATGACATTTTTATGCAAGGAAATTGCTTGTTGGTGTTATTAAAATATATTTTTTGGTATGAGTGAGACGACCATATTCCCTTTTCTCTATTACCATAGCATACCCATTAGGGCTTAGGGCAGTTGTAGGTATTTTCTTCCATTTATATTGATAGTTTTCCTTCTGAAGCCACATTCAGCTTTATGGACTGTCGGTAAGGTCCTTTGTTGCAGTTAATGTACAAGAATGAGAGACTGACAGAAGACATCAATAACGAGGCTCTAGAGACCTGTTGGAGATGAGTGTATTTCCATAATGCTTCCCATGTCATATGCTGAATTGTTGGTCTCAATGCTTTTGTCCGATAGTTACATTGTAGCTGGATGTTTGCAGCATCTGGGGACCTTCTAAGAGGTCGGTAAATGAACATTAAAGATTAGTGATCGAGAGATAGGTGGATTGATTCCCAGAGGCCTCTTCTCAACAGCTCCTGATAGATGGGAAGCAGAACACTTAGAGGAGCATCATGGGTCTTTAGGCAAAAGTGCTTGTCACAAGCCTGCTGTTCATCATTTCATTCTGTTTCTTACCTTGGCCATTCTCAGTCTTTTGAAGCAATTTTCCAACTTATTAAAGGAGAAGTACAGCCAAAGCTTTTTTGGCTGTACTTCTCCTGTGGATCAGAGCAGTGCAGTTCGTTCTGCACTCCTGTGCCCTGTTTTTAGCTGACAGCGGACTGAAGTCCACTGTCGGTTGACGTCACTCAGGCTTGGGGAAGATCCTGACTTTAAAGTCGGGATCCACCCCAGAGTCTGGAACGGCACCTGGCTCAGCCTTTCAGCAAGCCACTGAGAGCCTGAGCCAGCCGCTTCCTCCCCATCACAGCCCAGCGCTCCAGTGAGTGCTGGGAGGGCTGAGCTGACAGGTACTGCTCTCTGCTTAGAACGGCTGTAAGAACTCAGCAATCGGCAGTCATGTGATCACCGAGTTCTCACCCTTAGAGCTGGCAGTGGACAGATGCAGCATCAAACTGATGCTGCATCCACCTAGGTAAGTATATCTGGGGGAAAAAAAGCCCTACTTCTCTTTAATGAACATGATATATTATATCCAACATTTAATATTGTGTTAAAAAGTATCCTGTTCTCTTCGCATTGCTTCCTTTGTGTGAAAAACCTGGTGATCCTGCCAGTCCTATTTCAAACTGACCATGCTAACCATACAAGCATGTCCTTCACAGCATGGCCAGTAATTTAGTATTGTGGGAACACCCTGTTATGAACTTGATAGGTCAGGCCATCTAAACATTTTTAAGATATGGAAAGAAAACTATGTGGCAAAAAGCTGTAGTTTCTCCTAGATTCTGTATATATATATATAACGTATATTATTATCATTATTATTATTATACAGGATTTATATAGAGCCGACAGTTTGCTCAGCGCTTTACAATATAACGGCAGACAATACAGCAACAATACAATACAATACAGGAGGGTTAGGAGGGCCCTGATCCTTGGAGCTTACAATCTAAGAGACGTATACATTATTATTACAGGTAAGTATTCTGTGCCCGCAATTTATACAGCAATTTATATATTGGACATTCATATCAGTTCCAGCCCTCAGGGAGCTTACAGTCTAATGTCCCTACCTCACATTCATACATACACATACTAGGGATCAAATTTAGACAGGAGCCAATTAAAGAAATACAGCTTTCTTGGCTCTACTTCTCCCATGGGTCACAGGAGTGCAGCTCGTTCTGCACTCCTGTGACCCGTATTCAGCTGACAGTGGGCTGACGTCACTCAGCCGGTCCAGGCTGGGGAAAGATCCCGATTTTAAAGTCGGGATCCACCCCAGAGTCTGGAGAACTACCTGGCTCAGCCTCTCAGCGAGTCACTGGAAACCTGAGCCAGCCACTCCCTCCCCCTCCACAGCCCAGTGCTTCAGTGAGTGCGGGGGGGGGGGGGGGCAGAGCAGAGAGCAGTGACTGATAGTCACCACTCACTCAGAGTGGCTGTGAGAACTAAACAATCAGTGGTCATGTGATCGCTGAGTTGTCACCCTTAGAGTTGGCGGGGTACAGATGCAGCTTTGGACCAATGCGGCATCCAATTAGGTAAGTAATTAGGGGGAAAAAAGCAATCCCCTACTTTTCTTTTAACCTACCAGCATGTCTTTGAAGTGATGGAGGAAACCCACATAAGCACAGGAGGAACATGTAAACTCCATGCAGACAGCGTCCTGGCTAGAATGTGGTGACCATAGTGCTGCAAGATGAAAGTGTTAAACATTAAAGTGATATTAAAAGCAATTTTTTTTTTAAATAACAAACATGTTATACTCACCTGCTCTGTGCAGTGGTTTTGCACAGAGCAGTCCTGATCCTCTTCTTCTTGGGTCCCCCGCTGGCACTCCTGGCCTCTCCCTCCTCCTGGGAGCCAATGGCTCCAGCTGTTGTCTCAGCCAATGAGGAGGGAGAGTCCCTGGAGAGGCTTTCGTGCACATCACTGGATTGTGATGAGGCGCAGGTAAGTATTAGAGGGGGCTGGGGGGAGCTGCACACAGAAGGTCTTTTACCTTCATGCATAGAATGTATGAAGGTAAAAAACCTTCAGCCTTTGCCGCTTTTCTTCCCATATATCTATTCAGTTGCATCCAACTTTCGGCATTTCTGTGGGCCAGCTGTCTGGGCACCGTATATGATACACTTGACAGCCTTTTAAGTGGAACTCAGTGAATTATTCATAATGTAGGGCCCCAGGTCTTTCCTCAACCCACCCCAATTGATTGGCTTGGGACTGGCATGCAGAATGTTGCATAGTTAATTTTTGCACACGTACTAGGGCCAGTTTAGACAGGAGTCAATTAACTTTAAAGTCTGGGAGAAAACCCAAGTACCAGGAGGAAGTCCATGCAACTGCAGGAAAAACATGCAGACTGTATGTAGATAGTGTCCCGGTCAAGTTTTAAACCAAGGACCCCAGTGCTGCAAAGCATATGTGCTAACCGCCACCGTGATGAGCAGTCTTGCCTGGTCAAAAGTGAAAACATGCTACGCAAAATTCCTGACCGGAATTAGCAGGTTTGTTTATACATTTTGTACATCTTGCATATCAGCAGTAATGTGTGCACTTCTGGTGGGAACAAGTCATACGTCTTAGTGATTTGAAACATTGTGATTGTCAGGAGAACAGCTCTCTCCAACTGTCTGCTTCTTAGCAAACAAACAGGTTTCATCATCTAGACTTTCATACTGCACAAAGAGAATTTATTCTAAATTAAAACTGCCTGAGACAATCCTTCATAAAGTCAGCCCCCTGTATATAGCATGTCATGGGGACTTTGTTCTCACTGTAGTTACTGCCTTGCAGTTTCTGCCAGTGAAAATGCTTGGATATGTCAACCAGAGCAGCCTTTCTCAACCAGGGTGCCCAGGCACCCTGGGGTGCCTTGAGGTTTCTTCAGGGGTGCCTTGGCAAAATGTATACAAATTGCCCAAAACTTGTATACAAGCCAGCAGGTGGAACAAGCCGGCCTTTTAGTTACACAAAGTCAAAAGTTTTCATTGTGCACCATTATGACCTTCTACCCACCGGCGTCCTGACAACCAATTACATCATCAGTTGATAAGGAGGATGTCAGCTGCCTGCACAAAATCCTAGTTTGACCCTTCCCTGCCCCCTCCATCAGTGCTGGGGTCACATTAGCTCAGTGATGGAAATTGAAGGAAAAGAGAAACACTTCAGTACCAGTGTGCAAAAGTGTATTTGCTTTGGAAGAATGAATCACTTCTAATGTTGGGTGCCCTACGTGTGTGGATGTTGCTGCATTATATAAAACTTTTGGAATAGTTTTTAAATTTTAGATTGGGATGCCTGAAGATTGTCCAATAATTGTAAAGGTGCCACAGGACTGTCCATAATTATAAAGGGTGCCTCTGGACTGTCCATAATTGTAAAGGGTGCCTCTGGACTGTCCATAATTGTAAAGGGTGCCCCGGGACTGTCCATAATTGTAAAGGGGTGCCTCGGGACTGTCCATAATTGTAAAGGGTGCCTCGGGACTGTCCATAAGGGTGCCTCGGGACTGTCCATAATTGTAAAGGGTGCCCCGGGACTGTCCAAAATTATAAAGGGTGCCTCGGGACTGTCCATAATTGTAAAGGGTGCCTCTGGACTGTCCATAATTGTAAAGGGTGCCTCAGGACTGTCCATAATTATAAAGGGTGCCTCTGGACTGTCCATAATTATAAAGGGTGCCTCGGCACTGTCCATAATTGTAAAGGGTGCCTCAGGACTGTCCATAATTGTAAAGGGTGCCTCGGGACTGTCCATAATTGTAAAGGGTGCCTCTGGACTGTCCATAATTATAAAGGGTGCCTCGGCACTGTCCATAATTGTAAATGGTGCCTCAGGACTGTCCATAATTGTAAAGGGTGCCTCAGCACTGTCCATAATTGTAAAGGGTGCCCCGGACTGTCCATAATTGTAAAGGGTGCTCTGGGACTGTCCATAATTGTAAAGGGTGCTCGGGACTGTCCATAATTATAAAGGGTGCCTCAGGACTGTCCATAATTGTAAGGGGGTGCCTCGGCACTGTCCATAATTGTAAAGGGTTCCCCAGGACTGTCCATAATTGTAAAGGGTGCTCCGGGACTGTCCATAATTGTAAAGGGTGCTCGGGACTGTCCATAATTGTAAAGGGTGCCTCAGGACTGTCCATAATTGTAAAGGGTGCCCCGGGACTGTCCATAATTGTAAAGGGTGCCCGGGACTGTCCATAATTGTAAAGGGTGCTCCGGGACTGTCCATAATTGTAAAGGGTGCCTCAGGACTGTCCATAATTGTAAAGGGTGCCTCAGGACTGTCCATAATTGTAAAGGGTGCCTCGGCACTGTCCATAATTGTAAAGGGTGCCATGACTGAAAAAAAAAGGTTGAGAGACACTGAACTAGAGATCCATGAAGTGCCAAAAGGAAATACGTCTGCACCCTCTAGTGTAGATGAGCTGTACTGCATGACAAGACCAAATCCCCTAAAAGAAAAAAAATAGGATGCAAACAAATAAATTATAATAATATTTTCTAAGGAAAAATATTTTGTAAAATATGTGGTGGAGAATCTTGAGCAGTATGTTTTCACGGCAATGGAGTAGCATGGCAATGCTACTCCTCAGGTATTTTGAAGAAGAACTATCTTGAGTTGCTGAACAACTCATATCTTTGTAATAACCAAACAACAGGGAAATCCCCGATCCTTTAGCCCCTTATGTATAATCAACAGCATGACTTCGGGAAAATATCAGGTTTATAGACAGCTTTTAAACTCTTTTTGCTTCAAAGAGGGAATGCACAGCTCCTCATAGGACAGTCCTTGCATGGTCCCTAGGAAGATCACTAAGGCCTCATGCATACTGGATGTTCTTAACACGGCTTCTACACTCCCCTGTATGTTAGCCTATGTATCTATGCACACATTGGCATTTAGAGGCAAAAAAAAAAAAGCCCCACGGCCAGCTCATCCAGGAGCAGCAGGGTTTTGGCAGAAAAACCGCTTGGCTCCATGCACATTAGAGCATTTTAAATGGCAGGCAAAATTACTGCGATTCTGCATTGATTTGAAAACGTACCATGACAAAGTGAAAACGTGTGATTGCGTGAATGGGTGCCATTCATTTCAAAAGCACCTGAAAACTTGGGACGCATGACACCCCAAAAAAGGCTCTAGAACCATTTATGAGCATTGTGCATCACACAATTTTGTTTGTAATGCGGAAAACCATGCCGTGATCACAGCAAAAATGCCCATTATTTTCAAGGTGCCATTGTAATGAATGGAACCTGGATTCATCCTATTTGTCCTGTTTACTGTTATCATTGAAAGTGAAAGCAAAAGAAAATCCCACATTTTGGGTTGTCCCCAGAAAAGTAATAGAGGGGAAATCTTCCAATGGGAACACTAGTTCTGGTGACCTGGGGGTCCTCAAGGAATTCCCTTAATTTGTGGGGATTTCCTCTCACTTCCTGTTTTTAGCTATGGGACAGGAAGTGAAAGGTAATCTTCGCAATGGGACACAAATGGTTACAACCGTCCCTTGCTTTATCCAAAATGGAACATTTGTTTTCTGCCTATAGCTCTATGGAAATGCTAGTTAAATTTAGAGGTAGAGGAATATGGTGCACCTTATATCTCACTCTGGCAGGTTTTCTCCACACTGTGCATTGGCTCCTTCTCTTTGTTGCTTTGACTGGCAGTCACACACTGATGTTATCACACACATTGCAGAACCAATAGTCCTCCACTGTATATGTGAATGGTGGTAACCCACCCACAGCTCAGAGCATCAAATAGAAAAGAGTCAGGAGCGTGCTGGAGCGAGGAATAAGGGAAAGTATTACATTTTATTTGTCTACCCCCACCCTCCCCCAAACCTAACAAGCATTTAAAGTGATTGTATAGGCTACGGTATTTTTTTTTTTTTTTTAAACATAAACATGTTATACTTACCTGCTAAGTGAAATGGTTTTGCACAGAGTGGCCCTGAACCTTCTCTTCTGGGGTCTTCTGTTGGTGATCTCAGCTCCCCTTCTTCTCTGATATCCCCATAGCTAGACAGTGGGGGTGCATGTGTGGGTTTGCTCCAAGCCCTAGAGGCAATAGACACACACAGCATGGCTCAGCCCTCATGCCCCCCTCACAGTATTCGATTGACAGCAGCAGGAGCCAATGGCTCCAGCTGCTGCCTCTCTGTCCTGTGAATGCAGGGAGAGAGAAGAGAGCTGTTAGAAACAGGCACAGCGCTGGCTCGAGTGAGGACTCAGGTATGTAGACAGCAGGTGGGGGGGAGACGATACAAATACTGAGACTTTATTTTATCTGAATGCAGGGAATTTATTAAGGTAAAAAATACCCTGGCTTTAGAACCACTTTAACCTTTGCAGTGTGAGGGAAACCAAATGTAAGTGTATTTTTTTTATTTAGTTTAGCAATAAAAAATAAAAGGATATAGTTTTGCTTTAAAATATAAAAAAAAAAAAAAAAAAAAAAAATCTTCAGTTTTCAAAGCAAGAACTTGTTGCCATCTAGTGGATAAGTAATAGTATTGACTACCTGTGTTCTTTCTAATATTGTAGACCTTGGATTTCAGTAGGTACAATTTCGTAGCTCCCCAGGTTTCTGAAAACATAATAAATCTCAACTCCAGCAACAACCTTTTTTGTTTTGGATATAGTGAGGAAGGTTTAGATAGTCTTTTGAATTTTTATTATTGTCTTTGTCTTCCACTTCTCAAAGCTATCCATTCATATAAATTGTTGTAGACTGAAGAGATTCAAAGCAATTATGCATTAAACTAACAGTGCAAGTATAGCCATTAGGGGGGAATTGCTCAAATCTGTGCCGCACAACAAGGCAGTGCTAAACAGGAGCAGTGATATTGTAGTCTGCAATAAAACTCTGATTCCTTGCATAGGTGCCTGGATCACAATACTGACTAAACAGATCTGCAAGTGGTTTCCATATACTGTACTAAACATATGCAGGCCAAACACTTGATTAATAAGATTTCCTTCATGTATCCTACAGACTGAACAGAAGAAGTCTGCACATGTATGGTCAGCTTAAAGATATGAGTTTTCAGAGATCGCCTAAAGGGGGACAGAGTTTGAGGTAGCCATACAAATTAAGGTAGGGAGTCCCAGAAAATTAGAGAGGCTCTTGAGAAGTCCTGGAAGCATGCATGGTAGGGGGTGACAAAGGATCTAGAGAGCAGGTGGTCTTGGGAGAAGCAAAGAAGACAGTTTGAATAATGTTTTGATATGGGGTTGATGATGTAGTTTGGGACAGAGTTATGGATGGCTTTTGGCTTTGTATATTGATTGGATTTTGAATTTTATTCAGTGGGCAATTGTACGCCAGTGGAGAGATTGTCAGAGAGGGCCTGTGGACACAAAGCGATTGTAAGGTGGATGAGTCTGGCAGCAGCATTCATGATAGACTGAAGAGGTCTGTGTAGATGTAGAAGGAGGAGGACAATGAGGAGGAAATTGCCATAATTGAGGCAAGGGGGAATAAGGAAGGCAATTAGCACCTTTGTGGTGTGGGGTCATATTCAAGATTAGATTAGAATAAGGATTTGAGGCTCAAAGGATAGGTAAGAGTATAGGATCTACCTTTCTAGAGGCCACCCAAGTGTGTCCTTTCATGGAGTCAAAGAGAGAAAAGGTTCAGTGCAGTTGTACATTAGGCTGTTTATGCATCAATACACACGTTTGTTAGGTTTCACCTACTTATGCTAGTTATATGTGAAAACACAGTACATATATGTCATTGCCATGTAACCTATTGTTCCTTGTCAGCTACCAGAGGGTCAGTTTTGCTTTGAGTAATATTTTCTACTGTGCTGCTTCATTTTGAATATTTTGGGGTCTGAACATATTCTAAAAAATTATACATATCTATCCATGAAAGTTATATAGAAAGCAACATGTCATGCAGAATTTTTGTCCAGAACAAAAATATAAACAATAATGTAGAACCAATCATTTAGAACAAGCTTGTTTCCCTTTAAAGTTGAAGCAGGGCAGTTTCTGTACAGGATAACACAGGAATTCAGAGTGTGAACGATTATTTCTGTTTGCTTTGTGAATTAAGTCTTGGTTAATCTGTGTGAGTTTTATCAGCTTCTTTCATGTTTCAGACTCCCAGCGGGGCCACCAACTGCTAACTGGCCTGATAACACAATCTCATTGTATAGCGAGACCTTAGCACGCACTGAACTCTCCTTCCACTTGGAAATATTAGAATAAATGTGGTAATAAAGATCACTGTGCCATTTCTAAAGAGAAAAGCAAAACTCAAGGAAGAAGCCTGGGGCAGAAGTTGCTACTGCTACTGTGATTCCCAGGATTCATGCTGTTTTTGGGGGCAGTAATGTCAATCACATTCAAGTTGAAGAGCTATTGGGGGGGGGGGATTTACTAAAACTGGAGTGTGCAAAAACTGGTGCAACTTTGCATAGAAACGAGTCAGCTTCCAGAATGAAAAAATTATCAGCAAACACAATGCACCAAATGCAAAAAAGCAAACCACATCCCTAAAGAGGCAGAATCTGGAAATATGAAGTTCTGGGATTTTAAGGGTGAAAAAAGAATAAACAAATAATATTGTTATTAAAAGAGATTTTTCTCCATTTTTATTACAAACCAATTGTAAAATTACATGTAAATACAGTGGTTCTTGACAATCATGACAAACTTGGCTGTTTTCTGTGTCTTTAGAAGATGTAACTGCCCTACAAGTTTCGCCCAACCTGGGCTTCCTCAGGGGAAGGAATGACTTATGTGTAGTACAGTCTACAATTATATCAAAAATATAGAATCAAACAGTTATAAAAAATATCAATCATTGTTATACATAAGACTTTTTTAACTGTCCAGAAGAATATGTATGACCCCCAGCTTATCATCAAAATCATGCTGCGCAAGCCATTCAAAAATACATTGATGCATCTACATTATTATTATACAGTATTTATATAGCGCTAAAAGGTTTGCTCAGCGCTTTACATGATAGATTAACTTTATGGCCCAGGCGTTCATGCTCATCTCGAGCAAACAATTCCCTCTCCCACCCCCCCAGGTACAGGTTAGCATACAATGGGGCACAACGAGTCCCCATCACAACTCCCCTGTGATGGGGACTCGTTGTGCCCCATCGTATGCTAACCTGTACCTGTTTGCTTGAGATGGTCTTGGCAATTACCTTGAACATATCATCACTTGGCATTGTTACATTGACGATGTTTTGATGCTATGGTCAGGTGCTCAGGAAGAGCTTGCACAATTTATGACTATTCTGGACCAAAATGATTACAACTTGAAATTTACCATGATGTGCCAC